CTCCAGCATTTGTCCTTGGCTAAATTTAGGATGTGGGCCATTCTGGCCTGGGGTAAGGTGGTATCTCAGAATTGTTTTTATTTGCATTTCCTTTACAGCCAGGGATGGTGAACATTTCCTCATGTGTTTCTTTGCCACTTTTATCTCTTCTTCTGAGAGGTCTCTCTTAAGCTTCTTGCTCATTTTGTGATTGGTTTGTTAGACTTGCAAGGGGTTAGTTTCTTGAGTTCCCTGTATATAATGGATATTAGGCCACTGTCTGATATATTGTTGGTAAATATTTTTTCCCAATTAGTTGGCTTTCTTTCTAGTTTGGTTGTTATTTCTTTAGCTGTGCAGAACATTTTTATTTTAAGGTCGTCCCATTTATCGAGTCTCTCTCCAATTTGTTGTGACCCTGGGACTCTGTTTAGTTCACAGGAGCCACTTTGAAAGGGCTCCCATAGGTATAGTTGAGATAATTTGAATTAAAAAAAATTTACTTAGCTGAATGCAAATTATTGCGTAAATAAAAATCTATGAATTCAAAATTGTATTTTTTTTTCAGTCATGGGGCCTGAACTCTGTCTGGGTCTGGACACTGTTCCTCAGCTCTTCAGCTCAAGGCCAACGTTCTACCACTTGAGCCACAGTGCCACTTCCAGCTTTTTCTGCTTATGTGGTACTGAGGAATCGAATCCATGGCCTCATGCATGCAAGGCAAGCACTCTACCACTGAGCTACCTTCTCAGCTCAAAATTGTATTTGGAAAAAGAATAGTTTTTTTTTATGATTGAAGACTTATATTCTCCCAGTTCTTTGGTCTGCAAATCATAATTAGAAATAGAGAATTAAGCCAGTGGCAGCGGCTCACGCTTGTAATCAGGAGACTGAGATCTAGAAGATGGTCATTTGAAGCCAGTTTGGGCAGAAAAGTTCACAAATCTCCATCTCTAAAACAATCAGCCAAAAAGCCGGGCTGAAAGTATGGCTCAAGTAGTAGAATGCCAATAGAGGAAATGGGAAGTACTACAAGTTCAAACCCTAATACCACCAACAAAACAAAACAACCCAGAACTAAGCATATAGTCTGCTTTTAAGGAACAGATAGTAGCTCATTCGCATTTGTTAAAAGAAAACTCATCTTTATGAATGAGTGGTAACTAATGAAAGTAAAAAGAAATTTAGCATTAGAAAATCGTTTTCTGACCAACAGCAATAAAATAATTGGCTCAAAGATTATCGAAAAATTCTAAAACAATTAGTCTAAAGAATGGAGAAGAACAATATAATCATTAGTGTCAAAATAATAATCCTATATTATCAGATTATTGCAAAGGGGAAATTAGATTTTCATGGTGAAGAAATTTGCAATTACTACTAAAAAGATAATTTTTAATATAATTACTAAGCGGACACCCTGAATTCATGAACATCTAAGGTAATGACAAAATGTGTTAATGGAATCCAGTCAAGATGTTGTACTTAACCTTTAGTTGTATGGGAAATAGAACAATCTAATGGTTCCACAAGGAAGCAATCAAATAAAATCAATTAGACAAAGTAATGTTAATTTGATCTTTTCAAAACAATCAACATTATGAGTTAAAAATGTTAATAAGAGCATTCAGGATTAAAGAAACTAAAGAGATAATGATAAAATTTGATGTGTAGTCTTTTGAGGAACCTCCATATTGCTTTCCAGAGTGGTTTACAATCCCACCAACAGTGCACTAGTGTTCCCTTTTGTCCATATCACCTCCAGCATCTGTTGTTATACTAGATTTCTTTTTTTTTGTTGTTGTTGGTCGTGGGGCTTGAACTCTGGGCCTGGGCGCTGTCCCTAAGCTCTTCAGCTCAAGGCAAGCACTCTACCACTTGAGCCACAGCGCCACTTCTGGTTTTCTAGTGGTTTATTGGAGATAAAAGTCTCACTTCTTGCCCCGGATGGCTTTGAACCATGATTCTCAGATCTCAGCTTCCTGAGTAGCTAGGATTACAGGCATGAGCCATCTGCACCTAGCTTAGATTTCTTGATTATAGTCATTCTAAATGGGGTGAGATGGAATCTCAATGTTATTTTGATTTGCATTTCTTTCATGACCAGAGAAGTTGAGAATTTCTTTGTCTATTGGCCATTTTTATTTCCTCTTCAGAGAAATCTCTCTTTAAATCTTTAGCCTACTTATTAATGAGGCAGTTGTTTCTTTGAGGTTTTGGTTTTGGAGGATTTAATTTTTTGAGTTCTAATTTTATTTTTTTAATTTAATTTTTTTTGTGAACATACTGTACAGAGGAGTTACAATTACATGGGCAGATAATGCATACATTTCTTATCAAGCATTGCAGCCTCCTCCTTTGTTTACCCTTCACATCCCTTCCCAGACTCCCCCCCACCCCCACCCAATCCTCCCCCCTCCCCCCCACCAACGTTGTAAAGCTCGTTTTCCACATGACAACTTGTACTTCTCATTGTTGCAACGGGTCCACCTGTATCCTTAAACGACTTGTTTTTCCCCATCTCCTCCACAAGTTATACTGACATCAAATATAGTGAAAGCAGGGGTTGTACTGTGGGGGAGGGACATACAAAGCAACAAAGAGATAATCTTATAAATGCGTTAGAAACAAATGCATGAAAGAAAAAAGCATTAAAATACATATCTAAGGGTTCATTTTTCCTAACATCACATTATCTGACCTTTTCTGCTTGACTCATACATATACTAGATATTGCAAATAAGGGAAACCATGGGACCTATGTTTCTTTGGGTCTGGCTTATTTCACTTAATATAATTTTTTCCAAGTTTTTCCATTTCTAATTATATTTTAGATATGAGGCTCTTGTCTGTTGTATAGCTACTGAAGACCTTCTCCCAATCTGTGGACTTTCTATTGCTCATGCTACCCATGTCTTTGCCATGCAGAAGCTCTGCAGTTTCATGCAATCCCATGAGCTCCCTTATGACCCAGCAATCCCACCTCTGGGAATTTACCCAAATGATCACAAACAAGTCTGTACTAAAACTACCAGCACAACTATGTTTATCGCACCATTATTCACCGTAGCTAAGATATGGAACTAACCCAGATGCCCCTTAGTATATAAACGGATCAAGAAAATGTGATATATATATATGAATTCTATGCTTCCAGTAGAAAGAACGACACCCCACCCCCACCATTTTCTAGGAAATGGAAGGACTTGGAAAAAATTATATTAAGTGAAGTAAGCCAGACCCAAAGAAATATAAGTCCCATGATTTCCCTCATTTGCAATAATCAGTATTCATCTAGGATAATCTTATCGGTTAAGGAGAAAAGCTCAAAAGCTATATACATATGTCCATATAAGATGATGCTATGTGAAATGAACCCCAAGATATGGACACAGGAGGTTTTTCTTTGTTGTTGTTGTTAATGTACCATGTGATTTTTAAAATTTCCTTTGTATGTTCTTCCCCTTATCGTATACCCCTGTTGTCACTGTACTTCATTTTGGTACACTGCATTTTGTATATACATTTATCTAATTAGGAGAGGGGAAAGGAATAACAAAATGCTGAAACAAGGACACAGGATGATCCATTGCAACAATGATACTCACAAGACACTATGTTGGAAATGAAATGAACGTTACAACTTCAGGGGTGGGGGAAGGAGTGAGGGAGGTGGGGATGGGAAGGGATAGTAGGAGAAAAACAAAGGAGTGGGGTAACAGTGCTCAACAAGGAATGTACTCATTACCTTACTCATGTAACTGTAACCCCTCTGAACAGCATCTTTACAATAAAATTAAAAATGATGTGTATAATTAACTAGATTCTGTTATTGAGGACGGAGACATTTTATGAAGTACATTTAGAAACAATTTTAGAAATTTAAATATGTGTTTAGGAATGAAAGCACTTTTTAGAATTATTGTAAATGTGTGGATTTGATAATGAATGATACTGTGACAATAAAAGAAATTATGTCTTCATTCCTAGGACACAATATTAAGAAATGAAATTTCATTAATACCTGTACTTTATTTAAAATGTTTTTGAAAAAGATATAGGCCCATATCTGCAAATAGATAGGATAGTGCACAAAAAACATTATTAAATCTAGATTGTGTGTAGTTTTGTGCAACTTCACTTATTGCTCTTGTGCATATTGTACATCTCTGCTTAACTCAGGAAGCAACTTTGGAAGACATTTTAATGTTTTTCCCCAGTGTTAATTACATCTCTGAGGGAAGATCCATCCTCATTTATGGATGGATCAAAGAGCAAAGTATTACCTTCATATTCATTCCTGCCAGAGCTATGAATTTGCTCTTTGTACAGACAAATGCACTGATTTTCCTTTTCCTTTTTAACTTTATTTAACAATGCTGAGGAACAAACCCAAGATACCACACATGCTAGGCTAGGATTCTGGGCAGGACTAATATATATATATATATATATATATACATACATACATACATAGAATTTGTATATATAATATCTTATATGTGTGATACATATCTCATATATATGATCTATCACATATGTATCATATATGTCTTGTATATCACATATATCTCATATATCCCCTATATATTATACTGAGATAATCTTTCTGTTTTTTGGTGGGGTTAATTGATATAACAGCCTATTGTGAATTATAATCTTTGACAAACTTCGTTCCACATTCTCTTTCTTGAAAGGCTTTGTTATGTATAAATAATGCTTATTTTGAACTGTCCTGCCTCTGTCTGTACTCTAAAAGGTTTGCGGTATTTTCGGTGTTTCCATATTTTAAGGTTAGGTTGCCGGTTTTAATCAACAATAGAAAATTATGTTTAAAGGCTGCTGCTGATAGGCTCAGCCAGAATTTCAGACCAGCAAAGAATGTTTTGATAGGGTCAAAGGAGGAGTCTTTTTACATCACATTCAACAAGTGGCCAATCCTGCTGGTGCAGACCAGCATTTTGCTCAGCAACTGAGTAAGGAACTAGGAGCAGGAACTGTCTTGGAAGGCTGCAGGCGCCATGGGTAAGGTGAAGAAAAGATCCACTGCTCTTCGGCATAAACGAAAGCGACCTGGAGATTGTCCTACTGCCTGCGCAGCGATCGCGGTCATGGGAACCACCCGCGCGCGGTGCTCACCTGTTCAAGTGGGCATTGGAAGCCATACAGTGGGGAGGGAGCGGGCAATGGTTCAGCATTGCCGGGGACCGGCACAGAGGAAGCGCTGGTGGCGAAGGGTTCGAGAAGCAAGCCCCAAAGATCTGCTGCTCCAGGCACCACAGCTGAACCCAGCGACCAACCCACCTCCCCCCACAGAGCTAGACCTGGGCGCGCAGCGGGAGCGGTGGGAGAAGTTCCGGAGGGTGCGAGGCCTCAGCTGCGAGGATGCAGCCAAGTTCCTGTTAGACACCTTCGAGTTCCCGGGCCTGGTCTACCACACCCGGGGCTGCCACTGCGGCGCGATCCGTTTTGCAGCCTGGGCCCCTGCGGATCTGAGGGTCATGGAGTGCGGATGCCGGCTGTGTCAGAAGAAGCAGCACCGCCACTTCCTAGTCCCGGCCTCGCGCTTCACGCTGCTGCTGCTGCAGGGCGAGGAAAGCATGGTCACTTACTCGTCCACCACGCACCCGGCGCTGCACAGCTTCTGCAGCAGATGTGGTGTCCAGAGCTTCCACGCAGCTGTTTCCGACCCTCGCGTGTATGGCGTGGCCCCGCACTGCATGGACGCAGGCACCGTGTGCAGCGTGGTCATCTAGGAGGTTGATGCTGGCGACCCTGTAAAGGAGGCCACCAAGGAGAGCAATACCACCATCCAGCAGGTGTCCATCAGCACTGTCCCTGCCTGAAATGGAACAATGACTAGGGGGCAGGGGGTGCAAACATCCAAACAGGTGTTAAGCGAATGTCCAGGCAGCCCCAGCATTAATTGTGAAAAAAGTACCTTGTGAAAGAGATCTGGTTCTGGACTTGCTAAATTTGTGGTGTCCGTGCAAAGTTTTCCTTTACTGCCAATTCATTTCAACAGACTTTCTTAGAAGCAAAAACTTGAACATTCCTGTGTCTGTATAAAATGAGAACTTTGCAATCCAATAAGCAAGTGGCATCTCTGGTAAATGCCAGGCCCCCAAATCTTCTCTTAAGATCCCTCAGTTCTCACTAATAATCACTTGCAGATTATTCTTGTCTACTGTATGTTCTTGGTGCTATTGTGAGCAGTGTCATTGCTAACAGTTGTATTTCATGTTTAAAATTGATAGGTTATGTTTTGTGAACATTTATTAGGATGTTATCCCATTGACGTCATGTATATCATAAATAACTATTTCACTACTTAGAGATATGTATTGTTTTCAGCTACAGTGTTTATTTGATGTGTTTTCAAATCCTATGTCTTAAAATTCCTAAATGTAACATAGCGCCCTGCTCTGATGTTAGTATGTTGCTGCGTTTTGTTTTACTGTCTCTGAGAATGAGGGTGGAGAGACAGAAATGTGACCAATGTCTGCACTGGACGCCCCCATGAATCTTCAGAAATAGTTATCTTGTACATGTGTTAAGTGTTCAGAAATAGAAAATATGTATTTCTATGTTGTATATTTGAACTTCAGCACTAACTTAATTGTAATTTCTTGATACCTGAAATTTTTATCTAACCATGGGTGGTATGTATCTTCTCCAACCAAGAACAAATGTCAACATTGTTATTTAATTACTTTATAAAATTAAGAAATTGATCTTCCATAACTTACTTACCTAGCCTCTTGTCATAGATGTTTTAGCTTTTATTCAGCCTTTCATAATAGTAATATTTCAAAGGAGAAAAGTAGACACAGCAACTTGAGGAAAGGGGCCTAGACATTCTTTCCTGGATCTTTTCCTTGCTGAAAATCTGTCCTCTGTTCTTGCCTTCCATTGCATGTTCATATAATTTGCTATCAATTGCTTATCTTGATTTGTCAATTAAGCAAATAAAAGCCAGATCAATGAAGCAGACATGTGTTTCTATGACTATGTGGAGTTACAGGGCTACACCATCACACAAAAAGCCACCATTTTTCCATCCCTACTTCTCATTTTCCAGCTCCCTCTACACCAATTAGGGACAGAGGTTAACCATAGGATTTCTCTAAAATGTTCTATTCGCCTCCCATGATTGCTCTGAGTTGTGTGGAATAGTCGATTACAGACTTTCACCACTTCAGGGTTGACTTTTGATAAAAAAAAAAGCAGGGGAGAGATTGGTTTCTGTTTGTTTGACATTGTAGTATTTTAACACAGAGCCTCTGGTTTGTTGAGCAGGCACTCTATTATTTGAGCCACCCTACAAGCCATGAAAGAGGAAGAATGTGAACATGTATGCCTGGAAAACTTGTTCAGGTTGGTTGTTAGAATACTAAATTATACTTAGACTAAATAACTTTTTCTGCATAGACTGGATCTAGAAAGATCAAGAAATGGCTCAAGAATACCTATTAGTTTCTATAAAGTCATTTTTTTTTTTTTGCAATCGTGGGATTTGAACTCTTAGCAAGGGCTCTATACTTTAGCACTTGAGACACATTCCCAGACCTGCTATTTTGTGCAGGTCTTGGGGCTTGAACTCAGGGGCTGGGCGCTGTCTCTGAGCTTTTGTGCTCAAGGCTAGTGCTTTACAACTTGAGCCACAGCTCCACTTCTGGCTTTTTGGTGGTTAATTACAGCCAAGACTCTCATGGTCTTTCCTGTCTGGGCTGGCTTTGAACCACAGTCCTCCCAGATGTTAGCCTTCTGACTAGCAAGGAATACAGGTGTGAACCACCAATGCCTGGCTCCAGCCCTGCTTTTTGTTGGTTATTTTGGAAGTGGAGTCTCATGAACATTTCTGCCCTGGCCGGCAAAAATGGTGATCCTTCAAATCTTAGCCTTCTGAATAGGTAGGATTACAGGTGTGAGCTTTTGGTACCTGGTTCACATCAATGTTTCTGTGGTAAGAAAATTCTTTTCCCAGACATTTTCTCTTTTTATAAACCTGACTTTATTCACAAAGCAAACATCAATGATTTATTGCTTCTCTATGCAATGTGAAAATCCTTCCTAAGTTGTATGAATACAATCCAGTGTTCATGATTTGCAGACAGCAATTTTAACTTCCATATAATGTATGGGTCTAGGCTGGTTCTGAAGGCAGAACATGCTGTGGAGGAGGAGATGGATGATTGTAGAGATTAAGCAGTGGTTGGTTGACACTCAAAGGAAAACTGGGGAAAGGACTAGGTATTTAAGGGAATTTTGGGGTGCTTAACAAAGGTTGCTTAATGTCACTGTATTCCTGGTAATTTCTTTTTGTTTGTCAGTCATAGGGCTTGAATTCCAGGCCTGGGAGCTGTCCCTAAGCTCTTCAGCTCAAGGCAAGCACTCTACCACTTGAGCCACAGTGCCACTTCCAATTTTCTGGTGGTTTATTGTATTTAAGAGTCTCATGGACCTTTCTGCCTGGGATGGCTTTGAACTGCGATCCTCCCATCTCAGCCTCCTGAGTAGCTAGGATTACAGGCATGAGTCACCAGCACCTAGTAATCTCTTAAGAAGGCCTTCGGTTGTTTACTATTAGCTGTGTTTTCCATCATGCATAAAATTATATGCTGCTCTTTAAAATGATATAGGAAATGTTTGGGCACCATTGGTCATTTTGGATGCTGACAGCCTTTTCTATGCCTCCCTTGAGGCATTCTTTTTTTTTTAATTTAATTTTATTTTATTTGTGAACATACTGTACAGAGGGGTTACAATTACATGGGCAGGATAATGCGTACATTTCTTACCAAGCATTGCAGCCTCCTCCTTTAGTTTACCCTTCACATCCCTTCCCAGCCACCCCCCTCCCCCCCAATCCCAATCCTTCTCCTTCCCCCCCTTCCCCCCCACCGACGTTGTAAAGCTCGTTTTGGACATGTCAACTTGTACTTCTCATTGTTGCAACAGGTCCACCTGTATCCTTAAAGAACTGGTTTTTCCCCATCTCCTCCACAAGTTACACTGACATCAAATATAGTGAAAGCAGGGGTTATACTGTGGGGGAGGGACATACAAAGCAACAAAGAGATAATCTTATAAATGTTTTAGAAACACATGCATGAAAGAAAAAAACATTAAAATACACATCTAAGGGTTCATTTTTCCTGACATCACATTATCTGACCTTTTCCGCTTGACTCATACATATACTAGATATTACAAATAAGGGAAACCATGGGACCTACGTTTCTTTGGGCCTGGCTTACTTCACTTAATATAATTTTTTCCAAGTTTTTCCATTTCCTAACAAATGGGGAAATGTCATTCTTTCTGATGGAGGCATAGAATTCCATTGTGTATATATACTACATTTTCTTGATCCATTCATCTACTGAGGGGCATCTGGGTTGGTTCCATATCTTAGCTATGGTAAATAATGCTGCAATAAACATAGTTGTGCTGGTAGCTTTAGTGTGGTCTTGTTTGTAAACATTAGGGTAAATGCCCAAAAGTGAGATTGCTGGGTCATAGGGGAGCTCTATGTGGAGTCTTTTGAGGAACCTCCATACTACTTTCCAAAGTGGTTGAACAAGTTTACATTCCTACCAACAATGAAGTAAGGTTCCTTTCTGTCCACATCCCCTCCAGCATCTGTTGTTGTTAGAGTTCTTGATTTTTGCCGTTCTAACTGGGGTGAGGTGATATCTCAATGTTGTTTTGATTGGCATTTCTTTTATGGCTAGGGATGTTGAACATTTCTTCATGTGTCTATTGGTCATCCTTCTTTCTTCTTCAGAGAAGTTTCTCTTTAAGTCTTTCGCCCACTTATTTATTGGGCAGTTGTTTCTTTGAGGATTTGTTGTTGGGAGGTTTAATTTTTTGAGTTCCTAGTATATTTTAGATATGAGACCCTTGTCCGTTGTATGGCTAGTAAACATCTTCTCCCAATCCGTGGGCTTTCTATTGATCTTGCTAGCTATGTCATTTGCCCTGCAGAAGTTCTGCAACTTTATGCAATCCCATTTGTCCAACCTTTCTTTGGTTTGTTGTGTTTCCAGGTCTCTATTCAAAAAATTTCGTCCTGAGCCAAGGAGACCTAGGGTTTCTCCTATTCCATCCTGTAATGTTTTCAGAGTGTCTGCTTTGACTTCAAGGTCTTTGATCCATTTGGAGTTGATTCTGGTGCAGGGTGATATATAAGGATCTAGCTTTAGTTTTCTACATGTAGTTAACCAATTTTGCCAGCACGATTTACTGAAGAGGCTGTCTTTCTTCCATTCTATTGTTTTAGCTCCCTTCTGGAAGATTAGATGGCTATAGGTCTGTAGGTTCATTTCTAGGTTTTCAATTCTATTCCATTGGTCCTGAGGTCTGTTCTTTTTTTTTTTTTTTTTTTTTTTAATTTTATTTTATTTTATTTGAGAACATACTGTACAGAGGGGTTACAATTACATGGGCAGGATAATGCATACATTTCTTACCAAGCATTGCAGCCTCCTCCTTTGTTTACCCTTCACCTCCCTTCCCAGCCTCCCCCCTCCCTCCCACCCAATCATACCCCCCATCCCCCCCCCCCCCCACCGACATTGTAAAGCTGGTTTTGACATGACATTTTGTACTTCTCATTGTTGCAACAGGTCCACCTGAATCCTTAAACGACTTGTTTGTCCCCATCTCCTCCACATGTTATACTGACATCAAATATAGTGAAAGCGGGGGTTACACTGTGGGGGAGGGACATACAAAGCAACACAGAAATAAT